CGCCAATTGTTGGTAACTAATTCGCCATACATTTTACAACGCAAACTTTGCTCTGCCGCTTTCTTAAACAACTTTCTTTTATATAAAGCGATTTTTATGCTGTGTACAACCTTAAAAATTCTATTTTTTTCCATTTGGAAACCATGTAGATACTTACAATAAAATATATATTTTTTCAAACAACATAAAAATTATTTCCATTTTTTTGCTCAAAACTAGCAACTAAATACATACAGTCATTATTTAGAGCGTTAAGTAACGCAAACTAACTGTTTCTCTCAATCAATGCAACATTATTAAGCGCGCACCTTTTGTGGTCTCTAGCAATGCTTTAATTGCAAATCAATTTTTATCAATGATTAAATCAAACAAAATAAAGGGGCATGGCTTGGAACAGCTATAATCAAAACAGCAACAACAAAATAAAAACTATTAACACAACTGCTATTGTATATAGTAGTGGATATACACTGCGTGTAATGAGGGTCGTTAACAACTACATTGATGCTTGACCAAAACGGCGAAGCAAATCAGCATTTGTACAGTGCAAACATTATTCAAATATTAATATCACAACATGAGATCATTTGTAAACTTCCTGACGCATGCGCGCACGCACTCAAACACACACACCCATGCACACAAAATCACACAAAACTGCACCCAGTCTCCCACACACACACTGCTGAATTGATTGTTTAACAGTATTTTACATAGATAACGTATATTTTAACATATAATATATACTTATATATATATATATATATATATATATACACATGTCTATATATAAATTAATTTTTATTATTTTATATATTTTAATGCTAGTATGGTTAGTGTAATTTGAAACAACAATAACAATAGTTTCACCTAAAATTTACGTAATGTTACAAGAAACAAAATGCATCACATATAATATAACGGAGAAAAATAACAGCAATTATAAGTAAATAATTGGGGAAGATATTGATATATATATATTGATTTGTGGTGTAAAACTGTATATTTTATAGGCGCTATTCAAGACTTTCAACTGCTGAAACTATACTCCGATGCTATGGCTGCTATTGTATACAAGCTAATTAATTAACAACGCCAACAAGCGTAAAAAACAGAAAAATAAAAATATAATATTGTATATACAATAAATATATGTAATCTTCAAGTATAACTATAATAAAGTTAAAAAAAATTACAAAATGAGAAAAAAAATTTTAATAAAAATAAAGTAAAGTAGCAACGAAAATATTGTTAATATGTAATAAAAAAAAAAAATAACAATAGAAACTAATATAATTAGTTATGTAAATAAAAATACAAAAAATTCAAATTTTAAGAATATTAAAATAATATTAATAGCATAATTATAATAATATTAATAATGAAGAAATTAAATTATTAAAATAAGATATAAAAATCAATTTCAAAGTTTGTGTAAACAAAAATAAATAAACTAAAATATATATTAAAATTTAAAAAGATAATTAAAGATGAAAAACAATAATACTAATATAAATAAAATTAAAAAAATAAAATAAACAATTAATTCAGAAAACAAAAAAATTCAAAAATAAATTTAAAAAAAAAGATTCAATAAGCAAAAGCAAGTAAAAAAAACGCTAGTTCAAATAAAAAAAAAATATAATAAAAAGACAACATGAAAAAATATAAAAAAAAAACAATAAACAAAAGAATTAAAAATATAAAATCAATAAACAAAATAAAAAAATAAATTCACAACAACAACTAAAAAAGTTAATTCAACTAACAAAAGAGAAAAATTAAAAAAAATTTAATTACTTAACTAAAAAGATACCACTAAACTAGAATTTAAAATTATATGCGCAAATTAGATTTAAAAATATAGCAATATGAATAAAATATATATATATTTTTTAATGTTAACTTATTTATTATATAATGTATAATTAATTATAATAAAATAATAAAACAAAACTAACTAAAGAGAATATATGCTTTAATTTTTGTTTTATTATCAATTAGAAATAAAAATATAGTAAAATAAAAATAAACATACTTTAATTTGTTATTTTTTTAATATAAAATATGATATTATTAGCTAAAACAAAATAATAAAACAAAAATAAATAAGAGGATCAATAAATTATAATATACAATTATAAAAAAAAATTAATGAAATTTGTATTTTTAATGAATTATTTTTTTTTCTTTTGTTTCAATTTTTAATTAATTGTAATTTTTTTTTATTTAATTTTATATTATATAATATGTCCATATAAAATATATGTAAAAGAAAAAAAAATTAATGAATTAGATCATATAAATATAACGCAAAAACAAATATGAAACAGTAAGTTTGGAATTTTTTTTACAACATTTTTTTATTTTAAACAATAATAAATATGAATATTTATAAAAAATATACATATAAATATATTACTATTTATTTTTGTTTCTATTTACAAGTTCTTCTAAATATTTAAATTTTTTATGCATTGGACCAGGTCTGCAAATAATGCAATAAAAATAAATTAAATTAACTCTTTTGTTTTTGTAATCCCAAATACGGGATTGAAAAAAAGTTAATTCCAATTAAGGGAAAATTAAATTTAAAATTTTTAATTCCAAATTGTTTAAATAAAACATTCCCAACCCTGCATTTGACATTAAAATATGTATAAAAAATGATTTTAAAAAATTAATAATAAATAAAAAAATAATAAATAGTAAAGATATAAATAAGAAAAGATACAATAATATACAAATTAAAAACAAAAATAAATAAGAATATTTATAAAAAAAAAAATAAACTTATTATTTATAATTTCTTCTATATTTTATTTTTTATGAATTTGATGCTTTTTAAAAATTGAAATTATAACAGTATGAATAGCAAAAAATAAAATAATAAATGCAAAAGGTTAATGCATAATAATAATGAATATAGAATATGACTATGAATAATATTTATAATTTCTGACAAGAAATATTAAAATAGATTTGATTTTAATAAAAACATTCTTAATAAAATATTTTTAAAGTCTAACTTAAAGTAAAGTATTAATTAGAATAAGACAAATTCGTTACTTTAATTTGTTGAAAATTGTATGAATTGAAGAAATATAAACGATATATAATATTAAAAAATGTTATATTTAAAAATTAAAAATTATGGCCTAAATTAAAATTAAAATTTTCAGTTAAAAATTAAAATAATTATTTTTTCTGTATTTATGGCATAAGAATTAACACTAAATTATTGTTAGCATAAAACCTTACTAAAAAAATTTTAGGTAATGCTGCTGTGTTACAAATTATAAGTCGAGGATAAGCCCCCGAGTTTAACTGTCTTTAAAATGAGAGTGTGCAAGTTAGACTTTTCGAAATTGTCAAATATGTATAATATTTCAGATCAAATACATAAAAACTGTAAGTATATAAATGCTTGTTCGGCTATATGATGATGATGACTGAAGTTTTAAATTTTTGAGAAATAATTTACGCATACACATATTACCTATGTATGTAAATGTGTAAAATATTTTATATACATAGCAAATAGATAATAATTATTATATAATTAAATAATAGTTTCTAAAGTTTAGCATTTTCTATATTGTAGACTTATCCCGAAAAGCATAGTAGCAGAGAAACAATGTGCCAAAAATGACAAAATTCATACCTGAAATGAACTTGTCACTTTATTAGAAAGTAGTAGATATGCTAAAAACACGATGCAAATATTTAACCTACATATCTACATTTTTTACATATAGTATTGTATCAGGATTGATGTTTCTTAGCATTCATGCATTTCTAGTTTTGTATTGTGTAAATGGCGTAGAGTAAGTTAATATTGTAAGAATATATTGATCTTCCTCATTTAATAAGCTCAAATATAAAAGTTATTTTTTCATAATTCACATTTCTATTTATCATATCTATATATTTTGTATTTGCAGTTAAGTAACAAATAGCCAGTTTTAACTGGGCTTTTTTATATCAAGAACCATAGTAAATCATGTTTTTTTTTGTCAAAATAAATAATAATTAAACTAAATCAATTGGATTGAAGATTTAATTGTACAACAAATTTGTATAGTAAAATTACTATCTTTTAAATAATTTATAATTGATATTTTTTTTTGTACAACAATATTTATATAGTTAAATTATTATTTTTTAAATAATTTATAATTGATAAATTGTGTTTGTATTTGTACAACAAATTTTATAAAATTAAATTATTATTTTTTAAATATGCAAAGGAAACAGTTAAAAATAAATTTTATAGTAAAATTACTTGAATTTTTTTTTTAATTTTTTAGTATATTTACTCAAAACTATCAATCAAATCAGTTTGTTAACATTAATTTTGTAAATTAAGGAGCGCATTGTGCAGATTTCTAAAAGTCAAAACTTAAAATATTAAAAAAAGCACTCAAAACTTAAAAACTGCAAAATTATGAGTGCTTTCTTCAATTTTTTAAGTACTAATATTTAAGTACATTTATTTTATATACAATATATATATTTTTTAATATTATATTGAGTTTTTTCCATTGTAACTAATAAATCAAAAACGTTAACAGAACTTAAAATTTCTTTCACAAGAAGGCAGCCAATTTTCGGATATCAATCTCTAAATCACTTAGGAAGTGCGTGTGCCAGTTTAGCAAACTTTAATATAGAGCACACATCTTTCGTTTTAAAACGATTAGACATTTTAATGCCATTTTATGCCATTGTATTGACTTGTATCATAAAGTTTCATAAAACAATTTTATAGTACATATTGCCGAATAGTTTTTATGCAATTTATTTATATTGAAGGTATTTTATATTGAAATATAATATAAAACGACTAAATTTATATTTTTAAGAATTTTTTGATAATTAATTTCATTGTAATTATTATTTTCTTTTAATTGGAAGCATTTTTAGACACCTCGAATCACATTTTGCTGGCACTTAAAACTTTTTAAATTAATATTAATGTCTAAATTTTGATTTATAAAATAATTGTTAAAAAATATGTGTTAATAAGTACACATTCAAAAATTTGTTTATTTTTTTTTTTTTTTGAAATTTGGCGTTTGCTTAAAGAAAATTGATGCTGCTTTGTTGATCTTGATTAAAAACCAAAAAAAGCATTACATCACCGAACTCCACGCAATTTACACAATTTGTTGTGAGTGCTACACAATTTTGATATTAAATTTTTGATTTATACATACTTTTTTTTGTTATTTAAATGTTGATGTATTTGCTGGAACCATACTTTTTTCGTTTATTTTCAATAATTTTTTTTTGTAATTTAAATTAGCATTATTCACAATAACTCAAACGACTTGTTTGCCATACATCGGGTTGAAACAGTGCAATAAACCCTGGACGATAAGCTGCAATTGCGCAGTAATGCTTTAAGAATGTCACGTTTTTTTGTTGTATGGGTCTGTGCAAGCGCCTACAAAAACTGAATTATCACCACAAAACACCAAACTGCGGTTTGAAAATTAAATAAATATTTATGTACATAATTATAGCATCATTTCGACATCAAATGCAACTCAACAGGTAACGCCATTACCTAAATTTACTTCTTTTAGGCATAACCAAATACATATTTACAGTTATGAACATACATCCACGCACACGCACTCACACACACAACATTGTTTTGTAAAAGAACAATAATAAAACCCATTAATTCACCATTTACGCTCGCATTTGAAATCACATTATTATTCCTCAGTTGCAAAAGTTCAATGGAAATTATTCTAGTAAGACGCGTTAGACAGCAATTGAGATTGCAAAAACGAACTAGCAGTTTTGTAGTAGACTTCATGCGGCAACACTTAACGGCTTCAACAGCTTCAACGGCTGTGTGAAACTTGGAAATAATTTAAGCGTTGTTTGAGAAAATACATAAATGTAATAAAAGTTCCGTTTGCTAGCGGTAAACACAGCATATAGCATATTTTCAACACTTTCGAACTTAGTGTAGTTGTAATTTAAGAAAAAAATATACACTGCCTAAGCGTAAATAAAAAAGAGGGAGCGAAGCAAGCGCGTAATTACTTCTTAAAGCTAGCACAAAGATTAGAAAATCCACTAATTTTAAATTACTTAAGTGCGTTATCGCCAAATATATATATATCTGTATATCTATCTGTATAGATTAATATAATAGGTATACAACAATACAACTCCCAATTTTCAAATTAAAAAATCTAAGTAAATGTAAAAAAAAATTAAAATTTGTTTAAAGTTTACAGTTAGAAGGTAAAAAACCGTTAAATTAAGTGCTGGCAGAAGTGTTAGAGGCCGCACTGCTAACTGGCTCCTCTGTTTTGACTGACGTTGGCGCCAGTGCCAAGTTAGCTTCTTCGACAGCGTGTAAGCCACTAACCAGATTGGCATTACCAGTGGCTTTTGTATTGAAATCTTCGAGCACTGCCGATTTTTTAATCACCCCCGCCGCATCCACATCCTCCAATAATGGTAGCATAGCTCCTAGTGGTTGTTGTTGTTGCTGCTGCTCCTTTACACAACGCACCGCCTCCTCAATCCCTGTCAGCTTTTGTAAGCTTTGCAATGTCTCCTCATTGATTGTATGCTCCGGTGAGATGTTCTCTTTAATTTCTTGCTTCACTTCGGTGGGTATAAGCGCAATATCATGCTGTTCTGTTGGTAGTGTAATATTGCTAATGACACTTCCATCAGAACCTCCTGATAAAGCGTCATTTGTGTTGCCGCTGGCACCGGCTGTAATACCACTGTGCGTATTTGCTGTTGTTGCTGCTGTTGGTGTTGTTGTAGCCTCATTGCCAAAAGAGAGATTTTGTCTAAATACCTTACTTAACTGTTGCGAGGCATGGACGAATTTTTGCAAGAGCTGTTGTGAGGAGGCGTCACTCAAAGTGCAGTCACTAACATTGAAAGCTGCAAAAGAAAGCAAAAACAAATAAGGAAAAATCCTAATACAAGCTTTTCGATCAAAATCAAGTTCTTGTATGGTATTGTATTTGTGAAGGATGTTTTAGCTTCGTTGTAGCCGAAGTTAATGCTTTTTCTTGCTTTTAACTGAAATCCGATTCATGAGCGCCAAAAATATCTCACCTGTGGCATTATTAATGGCAACTGTTGTGTTCAAAGTAGAGGGTAGCATAGTTGTGGGATTAGTTTGTGGTGGCGTCCAAGCCGCTGACGATGATTGTGTCTTATTCTCAGGCGATGAGCTACGCTGAAAGAATAGTGAACATAATTTATCCACAGCGCCTGGGTTCGCCATCCAAGAGACTTTACGTTGGCGTTGTTGTGATTCTTCCGTTGTTAAAGGCAACGCAGAAGACGAGCTCAAATCGGTTGTTGAATTTTTGGTGAGCGTTATGTCGTTATCATTGTCATTGAAAACGGCAAGTGGGCAACGGGTAGTAGCTGCATTTAAGAGTTCATCACGCAAACTGAGCTCACCAATAGCACCAACATTACCACCAATACCATCAGTGGAGTCACTAGAGCTGTTGGAAAATATAGGTGACAGCGATGAGGATGTCGTTGTTGATGAGGAATTCGAATGAAGCGAAGCAGGCGATGTCGATGATGAAGAGGATGAAGACGAAGAGATGGGCGATAATGAAGTATTATTAGAATTCTGTGTATTAGTGATGGTGGTGACAGTGGCGACGGTCGCTTGGCTATCGATTGTTTCATTAATGTTTGGCGGTGAGAGTGGTTGTTGTTGTTGTGATTCACTTGGTTGCAGTGTTTTTTGCACTGCTGGTTGTGATATTTCTTCTTGTTGCGTCGGCATTGGGGCTATTGTTTTTGTACTATCAACTTCTTTTGTAGAAATATTCTGACTAAAATCAAGAATATTTGTGCTTGTGTAGCTACTGCTGTTTTCGGCAATGGCAGGTGTTGGCGGTGTGACGATAAGTGCTGTAGGCTGCACAACACTCTTGTCGTTTTCGCCGCAGTGTTTCAAATTGGTTGTGACTTTATCCTGTTGGGTTGCTGTTGCTGAGTTTTCACCAGCCGCTTTCGTGTCAACTACTGCTAATACCCCTGTTGTTGTTGTTGTTGTTGCTTCTGCAGGCTTCGCTTGTGCACCAGAGTATATAGTGAGCTTGGCATTTTCGGGTGCATGTTTTGCCATTGGTGTAGGCGGCAAATGGATCGGTGGGGTAATTGGCGGCAATGAACGACTTGATAATGGCACACGTGGATCCTCGTAGATTTTCGATACCAGAAAACGTGAGCGTTGCGACGATGAAAATCGTTTAATAGATTGTGTTGACGATGTAACAGTAGCCATTGAAGGCAGCGAACTGGATGTAGGGAGGGAGCTTGATGTCGCCGCAGGTTGGGCGCTCAATGAACTCTTATATGGCATATCAGCGGGCATAGAAACGGTGCTACCATTGCTGTTGGTGGCTAGCGATGATGTAGATGATGCGGTTGAGGGCGGTGTTTGAGCCAAAGGCGAGGTGGCCGGACTGTCTTCGGTGACACGAAATACCTGAAAACGGCTGCGATTTGGCGAAGAAGATGGTGAAACTGTTGGTGGACTGGGCACTGGTGAGCGCAGGCGTGCGCCGGTTTTTCGCTTCGCTTCCAACTTCGTATTGACCGCCGATGGTGCTGGGGAGGCGCTGGCGGTCATCACACTAGTAGACTCAAAAAGTGGTCGTGTATGGCAGGTCAATGAAATTTTGCGTGAGCCCATGTAGTAGCCGCTGCGTCGTTTATTGGCCGCGCCACATGTATGTGTTTTGTCCGATTGCAATTGCGCCTGTGTCTTTTCATTACGCGAACACATTGAGCGCACGTTTTCCAGTACGCGCGTATAGTCCATGTGCGCCTCGCTGCCCACCTGAAAGGGAAAAGAAAAAAGGAAAGAACATAACTTAATTATAGTCATATTAATGCCAGTGTAGACATGCGATTTTTAATTAAATACATTTTATTGGAAAGCTGGTAATATGAATATGAACCGTTATTTTTTATTACATACATGTACAGATACATTTTATATATATATTTTTGCAGCGTGCAAGATAAAGTTAAGCGCCATTTAACAAGCAAAAATTAAGCCATTCGATCAGCCAGTAATATGTAGTGTCTAATGACCTTACTTACACATTCCGCTGATTTTGTCGTCTGTTGGTTGTATATATCCGTGACATGAGGCACAATTTGTAATTTTTCAAACTTGAACGCAAAACATGCAAAGTACAAAATTATGTTCATGATTTTCGTTTTCTAATGAGTTTTCAAAGGCATGTTATATATTGAAAGATTGTAATGATACTTTAATCAACCAGCAATCTAATTAGGAATAAGAACTCATAAGCGATCATGAAACATCAACTAGTCTCTGTAGAATTCATCAAATAGAGAACCTTGTTTTTTATTTTGTAAAGTTAAGTCGCTTATCGGCCACTGACCCAGCTATCGTCAGAGCATGTATTCGAAATTTGTGCGACTGTCTCGTAACGGCACCCAAAACTATTCCGGAGTTTCGAGTGAACTCGAATAACATTCCTCTTTATAACTAAAGTACACAAAAATTGAAACTCAACTTCCACACTTTCACACTGTAAGAATCCTCCCTGTAAAATCCATGATGACCCTATTTACGCATTGTATAATTACAAATGCCTACAAGCAGTACTCTACAAGTTTACAATTTTACAGAAAAACGTTTTCGGCTGCGCGCAAGATGACTAACGAATTTTAAAAATGATATACAATAATAGCTGAAACTCCTTCTTACGATATCATAATAAACAACTGACATTCAGTTGTTAAAAAAAAAGTTCTCGAAATAATTTAGGTAATTCGGTTGATGACAATTCTTGGCCGGATAAAGTCAAACTATCGGAAGTAAATAAAAATCCTTGGTCAGATAAAAATCCGGGCAAGTTCTGGTTATGTACCTCATTCGTGTGGGAAAGTGGATCGCTTTATAACTTATCTTCCAGAGAATTTTATTACAATTTCAAAAATTAAGGATCAAGACTGTGCAGAATATATAGAGTTTCGGATTTTGAAAGAGACAAAACTTCCTTCTGCAGAAGCAAAACCCTGACACACCATTACAACCATATCTAATTCGACGAAGCTAAGATTGGTTTTAAAATATCAAATAACCAGTACATTGACAACTATATATTAACAGGTTAGGGGTAGTCAGAATTTTCTTAAAGCATAGTATCTTAGAAATATGCTATGAAAACCTAAAATAATTCCGTCTAATACTTTTCGAGTTATTCGTTACTTAGCCAAGGGTTCTCGAGCACCTTCATGTAAAACTTTAAATGCGTTTTTTTCAAAACTATATTTTTTGAACTGGATACCACTGTAGCTTGAAAACCGCTCGGTAGATTTCAAAAAAATTTTTGAAACATAAAAAACGTGTGTATAATCGAAGGAGTTTTTCAATTTCTATTTTTTATGAACAATTAAATGTTGATTTTTTCCCGAAAATCAGGATAAATTTTTGCTGAGGTCACCATTTTGTAAATTGAAAACATAAATAAGGTTCGATCAGGTACTAGATTATCTATTAACACAACTTTTTTCTTGTCCCTTTGATTTTAAATAAATCTCATTATTAAAAAAAAAAAAACAATATTTAAAATCGGCATTTGTTCGTGTCCACGCCTAACCCTTTATGGCAAGTTAAATTCTAACAAAATAATTTTCGTTGAGCCTTCTACTTTCAAAATATCTTCTATTTCACTTAATACACTCTGAACAGGTTTTTAAGTTTGCAAGAAGTTTGTAACAACCAGAATAAAACGTTCGAGACCTTAAAAAATATATGTACAAAAATGATCAGCATGACTAACTGAGTCGATTGAGCCATGGTCCGTATGTCTGTATATACGTGAACTAGTTGAAATATTGATTTGAAATTGTGCACACATCTTTTTCTGCCCTAGAATCTGCTCATCTGTCGGAACCGCCGATATCGGACCACTACAGAATATAGCTGCCATACATGCAAAACTTTTTTATTTGACAAGATATCTTCACGAAAGTTGGGATGGATTATTGCCCAAGGCAACGTTACAATCCCCGAACAAATTATTCAGATCGGACCACTATAGCATTTGTACAAATTTATGACAAAGATCTTTATCAGAAAGTTTATATCAAACAACCTGGCTGGAGAGAACTAGCAAAAGGTATTCCGTTGGATTCAAACCGTTGGCTGTTAGGTTATACATATATGTAGCTGCTATAAGAAATGCACCTGTGAAGGGTATTATAGCTTAGTTAACATTTTTTCTTGTTATTAAGTTAACATCAATATTAAATATACTTCATGATTGCCTAATGAGCTCAATATAAGATTTTAAATAAAACTAACGTTAAAACAATTCAAGTAGTTCGTAACGCAACTTCAAAGCTTCATTTACACTTTGCTATTTATAAAGCCATACTTACCGACAAACGCTTCGGCTCATCATCGATATCGATTTGTGTGATTGTTGTGTTTGATTTGAGCACTTCAGCGATTTTTGTCAGACTCTCCACTTCCAACTTATTGTCGCGTATATCTAGACGCTGCAAGGTGCTATTGCCACCGAAAGTCAGTATAGAAGCCAACGTCTCGATACCATTCGCACTAAGGTGTGCACTCTGCAAACCCAGTGTTGTCAGCGTGGTATTACGCATGAGACTATCTTTAATTCGGGTCACGAAGTCATTTGATAAGCAGTTTTTGCCAATGTTTAGCAGTTCAAGTGAATTGGTCTCCGCCAACAAGTTCGCTATGTAGTAGCCAGCCTCTTTACTCAAATTGTTATTCCACAAGGCGAGCGCCTTCAAGCCACTCGGTGTCTTCACCGCAGGCTCGCTGCGTGCATCCGATTGTCGTTGTTGCCGCGTGAGTGTATCATTTTTGGTAAGTTTCTCATTTAGCTGTGATGAAGTGGAGAAATTTAGATCACTACTAATGCTGCCGTCCAGTGAATTGTCACTACAAAGGCTATCTGAACTTTGCGAGCGATGTCGAGTGGCAGGTGTAATAAAGGTAACCGATGACTCTGTACGACGCATACCCTGACTAGCGCCGCCTGGCGAGGTCGATGGTGGCGGTGGTGTTGGTATTAATCGATTACTATGCGCTTCCTTATCCTTAGCCACCAGACTATCAGAGACGATAGTGACTTTCGGCATTGAAGGCAATTCATTTAAAACATTTTCATGTGTATCCGCTGCTGTAGTCGCTGTAACTGTACTCACAGCAGTTTTTGCTTTCTGTTCTTCGTTCGACGCCTTCACCACAGTAGCATATGTACTGGCTGTGAAAACCGTATTTGGTGTTATTGTTCGACAATTCGCATCAATATCCTCCTCCAATGCACTTAGTGGTGAGACACCCAATTGTCGTGTACTCAATGGTGATGGTGGTGTTGGTGTAGAAGTTGGCGTTACACCCGCGTCTGCCAAATACTCTGTAGACTCAGTAGCTATAGTACCCGTTTCAATGGCTACACCTTTCACAATATCGTCCATCGCCGCACCGTCAAAAGAAGACGATAACCGACTATATTCCTCTGGCAAATGTCTGCTAATATCACCCTCGGAGGCACTTTCAAATGCAGAATCTGTACTGTGCGTATCGTCGTAATCATCGGCCAGCTTTGTATTCTTATTTACATCGACCGCCTTCGAAGCCGGCAACTGTTGCTGCAGTAATGTTGCTGTTTGATCTAGCTGTAAACGATCGCCGTCAACGATATTAGAAATGGCGGCAGGTGCTTCGGCAATGGTGCAATCACCTTCGCCGGCAGTTACTTCAAAGATATCGGTGACATTCGGCGCGTTCACTTGCTGGCGTAAGAGTATATTTTGATTCTGATTATCCTGATCTTGCGCGGCCGGTCCGCTTAAGTCGTGATACTTTCTGCAAACGTCTTCGTCGCCACTAATGTCGGAAATTGTGCTGCTAGTTGTATTGTTGTTGCCATTGTTCTCATCATTACTTGATGGCGAACTGGTCGATATGGTCTCACTATGGTTGTTACTGTGACTAACCGTCCCTTCAGCACTGCTGCCATTGCTGCTGTTGTCAAGCGTTGTGATGCCAGGATCTGTCTCAGAAGGTGTAATATCTGAAAAATTAATGAAATTTAAACATTTCAAATTAAATTAAATTTACAGTATTTTTATAAGAATCGAAAACAGCTCCCGATGTTTGGATTAAAAATTTAATTTTCATTTTTGAATACCAATTTTGGTTAATAGTGTAGGTGGGTTAAACGTTCTTTTTTTTATTCTCGTATTTGGGATTACAACATAAAAAAAAAGTTTTAATTCAAATGTTAATTCAATTATTTTTTATTGCATTATTTGCAACCCTGATATCTTTTTATTACCAAACAAAGCAAAGCTTAATAGTAATCGAAACTTACCTATCAACACCATTTCCTCCACTCCTTTAGCTTGACATAGCTTTAAGTCCGTCGCGCTTTCCTCCCGCGCTGCAACACCTCCCAGTAAGTCGCTTGCCTTCATGTTGGAGTTAGAGGTGGTTTTATGCGTATCGTTCGATGCACTTGTCATCCCCGTTGCTGCAGACGTATCAAATATATCATCACTAGTAATACTTGCATCTTCAGAGCCACATGCCGCTATGGTATCTGTGGACAAATTCGAGGCTCCCTCTTCGCTGCTGCTTTCGCTATTCATGGACAGCAGCTTATCCAACATTGATTGGCCAGTTGGCGCAAATGTACCATTTTTATGATTGCTTGATTTTACTGTATCTTCCGTATCATCGTCACCGTCCATATCGTCCAAAGATGCCACATTAGACGCTGTTGTTAACGCCACAACAGCGCCAACTGAAGATTTGCCATTTATAATTGTGTTGTTTGCTTGTGAAACTGTTACTTCAACTAACAGTGCACCTTTTGTGACTTTATCGGTTGCCTTTGGCGGGCTAAAAACGTCCGTGGAGTTATCAGTATTGCTTACTTTCTGTTTACTATCTGGAACTTTATCTTCACTTTCACTATTATCCGCGTTCTCTTCGACGCTGCTCTTGCTACTAGCATTGAACGAATCACTAGAGTCTAAATCAGTTGTTTGTGATGCATCAATTGATGACAAACTGTCGTCGTCATCGATTGCCGCCGATCGATGCAACATCGAACGCCGTTCCAATTCATTGGATTGCAGTATTAATGCGTCAACAATGTAAAGCAGACCCATATCTCTAATATTGTTGTTGCTTATATCAATCAGTTCGATGTAGTGATTGTATTTCAGCAAAGAGCCTATAGCTTCAGCATCTTTACAATCTAAATCATTATGTGCTAACCATAGCTCTTTAAGTATAGAATTCGAGCGCAATTTAAAACCTAAAAGAAATACGAGTTTATTGTGGTCAATTTGTTTAAATGCCATACAAAGAAAAGTTACTAACATAAGCCATCCAGCGCACCCCTCAAACCACAATGCTCCAATTTTAAGGTATGTAAATTAGATGCACTTATCGCTAGTCCCAAACCGTCAGCGCTTTGCTTCGAAATTGGATTGCCTTGTGCAACTAGAACACGCAGTTCTTCGCTATGCTTCACCATAGCCATGCAACCAGCCCAACCGCGCATGGTCATACCCTTGGAATTGGATGAAATGTCCAATTCATTGGTGGCCTCATAATACTCGATCATTTCAAAGAGTGCGCTTGTCGCCCACTCGTCCAGGTCACATGATGAGAGATCTATAAATTTGTACTGTACCTGCAAAATATACGAGAGGTCGAGAAAAATATATGTTTACAACAATATTTTTTCGCAATCCACCAGTATCGAATGTATCGATTACCCGTTTAAAAATTTCCTCCAATGCTTCACAATCGCTGGCGGCCAATTTAATTGTTTTTAACGATAGCAGTGGCTGACGTTGTTGTTTATTTAATTCAACACCTTTTAAGTGATCCAATACAGTCTGTAAGGGTTTTGTTTTATGTTTGCGGCATGACATCACATAGAGTTCGGCAATTTCGGAAATGCTCTTCACCAAACATGCTAAATGAAATGATAAATGATAATAATGTATGTATATTTATGTCGTTTGGAAGCTTAATATTTATTTATTTGATAAAATGAAAAATGAAGCAAAGGTTGAATGCAAGAAGAAAAAATATCGGCTGCACCGAAGCTATAATACCCTTCACAGTTGCATTTTTTATAGCATAAAAGGTTATAAAAAAAATATCTTTATTTTGATTTTGGTCCATGAGTTTGTATGGCAGTTATATGCTTTAGTGGTTCGATCCGAACAATATATTCGGAGTATGTAGCGTTGTCTTGGACACCAATCCATGCCAAATTTCATTAAGATATTTTGTCGAATAAAAAACTTTTCCATACAGGAACTTGATTTTGATTGTTCAGTTTGTATGGCAGTTATATCCTACAGTCATCCGATATCGGCGGTTCCGACAAATGAGCAGCTTCTTGGGGAAAAAAGGACATGAGCATAATTTCAGATCGATATCTCATCTGAGGGACTAGTTCGCGTATATACAGACGGACATGGCAATGGTGTTACAAACTTCGTGGCAAACTTAATATAAAATGTTCAAGATATTATTAAATTAGTAATAAACTATAAAAGTTAAGCCTTTTAAGGAAAGATTCACCAACTTTACCAAACTCTTTTTCCGTACACCAGGCACACTTCCAACACAACAATATTTGTATAGTTACAGGTGCCCCCCACTTTATTCCTTCTCGCCTTGGTATCCCAACATTTGTGGTACCCTTACGTTTACCGATTAACTATATTTGTATTTACGAAGAGTTTCTGTCTCACGTACACGGCAGGGAATGTATGGTAATAAAACCGTTCTTAATCAAATTATGATTTTTTCAAACATTGATGTAAATTTCGTCCAACCAAACTTGTTTTTGTCAATTAGGGAAACTAACATCGGTTTATTCTCGACGAATTTCGAATGTATTTTCAAAATAAAAGTTACGTCCAATTTACTACAGTGATCAAAAAGTAATGTGAAATTGTCATTGAAAACTGCAGGGCATCAGAAAGCAGGTACATTTTTTTTCTAGGTTGGTAGGGCTGTCTATAACAATTGCAATGTTTATCAAAAGATTTAATTATCTCCGAGTTACAAGTGTTTTTGTAAACAACCAAAAGTGAATTTTTAGATGTTCACAATGACTGATTTTGTTGAGCAAATAACTTGCTTCAGATTTGATTTGCGAAAATAATACACGTTGGAAATGCTGCTTTTGGTGATCAAACCATGGCGAGTTAAAGACGAGCCCCGTTTTGAAGAATGTTTTGTATCTCAAACGTGTGCATTGGTTCTTCGCGTCTTTTTTGCCAAAACCTCAACTCACATCGTTCCGCAACCACCGTATTCGACTGATTTGGCTCCCGTTTTTACGACTGTCGGGTCTACGTAACCGGAACGGACCCGGATTTATTCCGGCCAAGGACTGTCAACTCGGCAGAATTCTGCCGCTACAACAACAACAGTAACTGATTTGGATCCGTGCAACTTCTGGCTATTCAGCAAATTCAAAAGGCCAATGCGGGGCCAATTTTTGACACAATTGAGGAGAAAAAAACCGAATCGAAGAAGTTCCTGGACGCGATATCGGAAAAAGACTACGCCGACTGTTTCGTGGACTGTAAAAAATGTTGACAAAAGTGAATTTTATCGGGCAGGAATTACTTTGAAGGGAATCAAGTTGATTTGGAAAATAATAAATAATTAATATTTTTTAAACAAATTCACCTTACTTTTTGATCACAGTAGCATATTGAAAACGATAGAAAAGCAGATATTATAATTGGTTTTTAAGTTTTTACATAACAATTTCGTGCTACGCTGAAACTATGAAACTAATAGTCATAAAACCATTGAAATTTAGTACTAATGCTACAAGGGCATAAAGAATACTTTGAAGCTTGCATTTTCATCTGATCAAAGGGTGTCAACATTTTCCAAAGATCGCCTCTCACAATCATTTTAAATCAAGTTTGAGAATCTACAAAGAAGTTGAATCTCATCTAAATTACAAATACAACGACGCACCGCCATAACATAGTTTTGATGCTTTTATTTCCAATTTATAATAATTACCCAAGAGATCAGCGATTAATATATGTGGAAATTAAAAAAGTAGTCAAAGCGTTAAATGTCTTCACTTATTAGACGTTTTGAAAACCAACGGATATACTGTTACCTACTTGAACGCTGAACAAATTATGTACCTGTTTTCAAATTGAAACAAGTAAAGAAACACTTTAAAGGATTAAAGGCCGGGATATGCTTTCAGATGTTGGCAACACTTTATATTAAACAATGTTGCGTAAGAATTCAACATTCATTATTTTACGAAAGGGTGAATGGATTACAGTGCATGGGTATTTTATTAACTCAAGTTATTGGTCGTAGACTCACTTAATTTCATTACTTCATTTTGCTTTTCCGAAATATTTATATTAAAATATACCAATATAAACGGTGTAAAGTTAGCTGGAAAGTCGGAAAGTTTTATATCGGGTATACACATTTTCAGCATTACACTATATTATATCCAGTATTATACGTACGTTCACATCATTTTGTTAAGATATCTTGCATAACTTACCCGATTTTACCCATTTTTGACACATTATTATAGGCAAAAAATTCGATTTTAAGTACAATAAGATATCTCACAGATTGGCCGATAATATCAGTATCTGGATTCTGAGGTGAATTTCACCTAAAGGTATTCGGGGCCACACCCGTTGTCCAATTCTGACACCATCTTCTACGAAGCCCTTAAGCACCATTTCCTCCCTGATACAAACAACCGATAGGGTACCAAAACTAGTATACTCTTTGTAGCAGCATATTGCAAGGGTATAAAAAGAATAACAAAACTGTCATGTCAATCCGATTATAAGTCAAATTCCTACAACTAATCTCGTCGGTGATAACATAATAGAAAGCCAATTTATTTGTTTTTGATCGTCACTGTTGTTTTGTACAATAATTTAAGTACTCAAGATCAGGCATCAATCACTAAAAATCATAAGTCTAGGATTTAACATTATCCTTTTTATATGCACACGATAATATAGTGGGATAAATTTCTCTTTCGGAACTAAATCTTAAATAGATCTTGCTTGCACCATATAACGTCATGTTCCGGTTACCACCTTGAACGAACTGACCTGACACATTTGACAATATGTGTGTTTCCAAACTATTAGGTATCTCCATATATTTCAATGTTATCTGAATATCTTACGGTCAGGAATACCTCCCACAAAGGGGAACACTTTTCTTTTATATAGATATATATTGAATGGGTGCCATGTACATAATAGAAAAAACTCCCCGTTCTCACAAAAGTCGGATCTAGGTAACAGGAACATATAAGGATTTCGTAAGGAGGAAAGGGAGAGGCGTGGTTGATTTTTTAAGAGTTAAAAACGGTGTATTTCTACTTCCTGCTATTTCCTGCAAAACTACGAGTCCTATACAAAAAAATTATATGGAAAAATTGTAGGTAATGAAAAGATCTACAAATTGTGTATTAAAACCTGTTTCCCGTAACCTCAATGTTTGTGTTAAAAATTCATTTAACCAAGTTTTGGGTTTTTTTTTAATATTGTACAAAAAATGTTTTTCTTTTACGTAACTTGTTGTGAACGTACACTTTTATGATATTTTCAATCGAAAATTCCTAAGTCAAAATATCTGACGGATGAAACCCAAATTGAAGAACTAAACCCCCTGTTCATTTGATACACTCCTGACAGGAATTATGAAACTTTAAGATTATACGGGCTTTGTGACGAACCGCTTCGTATTATATTAACCTCACCCAAACGACAAGACCGCATTGCTCTTTTGAATGAGTACATTGTTCTCCTGTTAAGGCAATTCCTGTTAAATTTTCGTCCACCGCAGTTTCAAAGGTCTCAAAGCCAACTGAGCGATAAGGTTACATCTAACTAAAGTTACCATCGAGGTATTAAACTTATCGTGAGTGCCTAACCCCTTTGCTTATCAGGTGTAACTGTTGCTGGGGCGTTCAAAGTATGTGCCCGACCGAGGGCAAGGGTATGGATCCCGTCTATACCATCGCAGCCGGACCAGATAATGCAGCTCATAAGAGCCTGTAACCCGAATTTGCCAACTGGGGTTGGAGATTCGTCAGGGCCTTCGATGACCCCGCAGCGGAACCTGGTGTGGAGACGAAACGAGCCAAAATGTAGATTCTGTTACTTCTAACAAAGGAATCCATAGAACCTCTAGCTAAAAGTGGGGTAGAGATCAACTACGGATTCACAAAAGTGAAGGTTATGACCTACAAGTCAGACACCGATGCAGGAGAGAACTTGGCATCGGAATCGGAATGCGAAGTCGAGGAAGATCCTATGGAGTCCTCGAGTGATGTGGAGAACACTGAACAAGGTGAGTGTACTTCGGGGTCTGAGCTTGCAGACAGATTCTCCAAACTTTACACTGATAGTGAGCTTTTAAGCGACTCTCAAAAAGACGCAGAGAAGACACTAATTAATGCGTCTTTTCCAAATTAATCGATACCACAACAAGCTAGCGTTAACCGCATGGCAGAAGAACGGCCTGACTTCGTCCTCATTCAGGAGCCATGGGTTAATAAAGGACGTATTTGCAGTCGGAGGACACCGTGGTATAATTTATACGTGGCTGTCTGCGTAGGTAAGGGTAGGATAGGTATATTGGCTAGTAAAAAAGCTTAATGTCTTTTTATTACACAGTTACAGTAGTAACAACACTACAGTAGTAAGCTGGGAGACGGGCGGAAAGAAATATCGGGTGGCATCAAGCTACATGCCGTATGACGAGGTAGCAGTACCATCGCAGCTGATCAAAGAGCTGGTACGAGACACCGAAGCATCCAAGTGCTGATTATACTTGGGTGCGACTCCAACGCACACCACACACTATGGGGCAGCACGGACATCAATGAAAGGGGTGAGTTGCTTTTTAATTATTTAATAGGAAGTAAGCTTT